AGACAGGTAAAAACTAACCGCTCAACATTTCGTCAATTCAACTATAATCAGGGCAGAAAACAACCCTAAATCATTCATATATAGAAAAAATACAACACATTTCATATTGACTGTCCGAAAAAAGAAACATTAACTCACGACAGTGCATCCGTGATGTACAAACATGTTATTTCCAGTGATATAAGCAGTATGTGTTTGGATGTCATGGAGTGATGTACTGTCTCATGTTAATGTGGTTCTTTTTTTTTTTTACAGTTGATGACACAGAAGTGTTGTAACATGTCTGCACAGGGGAAGCCGGGATAAGATGACGAATGGGGAAATAACAAATTCAATATTTCTCACTATAAATCACTGATAGCAGTACGTCAGAGTCACATAGGATTTGTGTATTACAATGCAACTCAGTAGTATAAACAAGTGTGTGCATATATTGTGAAAAGTTTTCGATTAAATGTTGAGTATTTGTTTTAATAAACTTCTAATAATTAATTGTATGTACGCTCACTTTGAAAGTTGTAATTTATTTTATGTTTTTTATATAATCATATTTTTTTTAAGTGGCGTGCTGCAGATGGCGAGTTTTTAATTCAAATGCTTTACAGTTTCTTTATTAAATATATGAATATTTGAAATCTAACAAGAGCTTATAGATATAAAATTCAAGAATAATAACTATTATTATGTGCATAATGATAATAATTATTTAAATATAATAATTCATTTATCGATGTAATATCATTACTATTGTTTTGATTACTCTCTTTCTTAGGTAGTAAAAAAAATGAATGAAACAGTTGGTAAAATTGCCATATAATTCAATTTATAACTAGTTATAGCCCATGTCGTTTTTAATTAATTTTCTATTTTCATTTGAAAATGTGTTAATATAAGAAAACTATATAAAATCATCAACGATCATCGATGTGTATAAAATCAAAACGGTCATTGCACTTGGTGTTATCGTCTTTTCTGTAGAAATATATATTTCATTAGTTTTAGAAATGAAAACTATGTGTGTGTATATATATATATATATATATATATATATATATATATATATACATGATGCCTGTCACTCATGACATAAAACACCTATAAATGTGCCAGCTGCTAAAAAAAGATTGAGAACCCCTGTTCTAGTGTGTATAGTTTGTATACATAGTTAGTGGTTGTTGTGTCGTAGGTGCTAAGGCCTTTACATGATTCTGATTTTTTTTTTAACTTGGAACTTTCTTAATTTCTAACTTTTTTGGAGATTAGCAAGGCTTCATTTTATATCCTATCACAACTTTCCATTATGCTATAGTTTTAATTAAATTGTGGTTTCCATTGTTTTATATGCAATTTATTAATGTCACGCAGATGTAAAAGGCCTAAAATATAAAAATTGGCCTTTTTTTTTTAGCCATTTTCGCAGGTTTTCTATTACTCGGTACACTGTGCGTCGTCAAACTTAAGAAAATACATTAATGAATTTATTTCCTATTTCTGAATTTCTCATGACTATTTTTCATAATTATTTATTAAAAAAAAAAAGTGCTCATATTTAATATTTTCAGACATATAGTCGTAAATGAAGTTGATGTTAAGCTGAAAACTAATAATTTTAGGGGTTTAATACAAATTTTTGAATATTAATGTTTTAAAATTGTTTTATTTTTATTTTTGATTCCTTTGATTATCATTTCGTATCCTCTTCATTCATGCAGCTCTAAGTCCCGCTATGGAGCATACAATGTAATACACAAGTATTACAATTTGGAGAATTTTTAAAATCAAGACTGGAAGAGTATGGGTATAAGCAGTAGGCTATTTAAGCAGAATATGTTTATCACGAATATGTTATTTTTAATAAAATGAAGCTTGCCTGCTATTCCAAAGCCATTGCTTTCAAAAATGGTACTTGACCTAATTTTAAAATGTTGGTAACCAATCACGCAAAATTCGATGCTCTACAAATGTATATACATCTTGTGAGTATATTTCCTCTCATATAACTCAGGGCATTCATAGTACATCTCAGTTTTTGACAAAATTGGTAAAATTCGTAAGTTTCAACTATACAACTTAACCACACTATTAAGTTATTGGACGCAGGAAATAAACTTCTTTCTTGATTTCTTCTTGTTTCTTTTCTTGGTAATTTTAATACTATTAAAATAGGAAAGAAAAAGAAAAGGTAAATAGTTCTTTTTAAAATATTAATTTGAAACAAGGAAACAACGTGTTTATAATTGATCCTTGAACAGTACAGAAGTTTCTGGCAATAATGAATATGTTCCTTTTTTTTTTTTTCTTTGAATATTAATACATTCTGCCACATTAACGGGCAGAATATGTTCTAATGATGGGAAAACATTTTCACGAAACTTTACAAATATGATGAAATGAGGCAAATAAAAATATATAAAAGCACAAGGAAGTTATAATTGCCAACTCCAATTTGATTCCATTGATTAAAGAAAAAGTTTTTCTTTTTGAGGCGTTGCTCAGCAGTAATAGAAGGGGAGGGGGAAATCGAGGTTTTTTTGTTCTAAAATTCCTCCCGAAGTAGCATTTTTGTTTTAACATACCATAATATATATATATATATAATTCAACTTTATATATATATATATATATATATATATATATATATATATATATATATGAAACAGACAAGGTTCATTTTACGTTAATATTTCAGTCACAATTTTTATTTTTGGGTTAGCCGACGTTTCGACCCCAATATGTGGGCCATCCTTAGGGCTAAAAATTACGAAATATAAAAAAAAAATCAAAAGAGTGTTCCGATCTCAGAGAGCACATATTTATAAAGTTTTGAGTGGATCCCAATATTGAAACTTTAGAAATGGGTAAGTAGTCGTCTGAACAATTATAAGGATGAAACAAAAATTGTCGGGAATTTCAGTCACAATTTTTATTGATGGGTTATCCGACGTTTCGACTCAAATATGTGGGTCATCCTCAGGGCTAAAAATTACAAAATATAAAAAAAAATCAGAAATGTTACGGTCATGGGGAGCTCATATTTATGATGTTTTGAGTAGGTAGATTCCAATATTGAAACTTTAGAGATAGGTAAGTCCTCGACTGATGGAACAAAAATTGTCAGGGATTTCAGTCACAATTTTTATTATTAGGTCAGCCGTTATTTCGACCCAAATATATGGGCCATCCTCAGGGATAAATATTACAAAATATAAAAAAAAGTAGAAGAGTGTTCCGATCTCAGAGAGCTCATATTTATAATATTTTGAGTAGATCCCAATATTGAAAATTTAGAAATGGGTAACTCCTCCACTGATGGAACAAAAGTTGTCTGGGATTTCAGTCACAATTTTTATTATTAGGTCAGCCGACGTTTTGACCCAAATATGTGCGCCATCCTCAAGGATAAATATTACAAAATATAAAAAAAAAAAAAGAAGAGTTTTACGATCTAAAAGAACTCATATTTATGATGTTTTGAGTAAATCTCAATATTGAAACTTTAGAGATTGGTAAGTCCTCGGCTGATGCAACGAAAATTGTCAGGGATTTCAGTCACAATATTTATTATTAGGTCAGCCGACATTTCGACCCAAATATGTGGGCCATCCTCAGGGATAAATATTACAAAATATAAAAAAAAAAAAGTAGAAGAGTGTTCCGATCTCAGAGAGCTCATATTTATGATGTTTTGAGTAGATCTCAATATTGAAAATTTAGATATGGGTAACTTCTCGACTGATGGAACAAAACCTGTCAGGGATTTCAGTCACAATTTTTATTATTAGGTCAGCCGACATACCGACCCAAACATGTGGACCATTCTCAGGGCTAAAAATTACGAAATATAAAAAAAATCAGAAGAGTGTAACGATCTCAGAGAGACATTATGAGCTGTTGATGATGATGTTTTGAGTAGATTCCAATATTGAAACTTAATAATGGTTAAGTAGTCGTCTGATGGAGCAAAAATTGTCAGAGATTTCAGTCACAATATTTATTATTAGGTCAGAAGACGTTTCTATTATATTTTTCTATTATTTTAAAATTTTATTTGAATAGAATATAATTTTATAATTCACAATGAAAACATCCCCGGATATGAGTTTCACTTTAAGGCCCTGGTTTCAGGACTAGATCGATAAAGTATTATCTTCGATTGTAATAAATTAAAATCTTCATCGATTTTTTCTTTTACTTTACAATGTTACTGATAAATACAGTAAATATGTAATAAATCCAATCTGGCTAAAAAAAGACTTATGATAAGATATCGACCTAGGCGTGCATTCAACTTAAGTTACGCCACTGTTATTAAATCATTTCACTTTTCAATCTCGATCGATTTCTACAAGTTTAAGAAAAAAAAATCAGTTTTAGAATATATGTGTTTGATTCATAAACAGTATCATGAGAATAATTGTGAATTACTTGTAGGAAACAAGTAATGTGGTATTTGTGGATTTTTCTTATATTTGTAAGGATGTCTGGTTTTTCTTAATCACCTGAAGCGATACCCTATCATAAAAATTAAATGTTTAAAATTATCACCACCCAAGAACATATAAATAAATGATTACGAGAAAATTAATGAGATTCCGAGCCATCTAGTCTAGACGCTGGCATTCCCTAGGGCCCATATGTTCTTATATTAACTTTATAGCGTAGAAACTGTAAAAATGGAAAAAAGCAAGAGTAATATTTCTTGTTTTTATTAACAAATAAATATACGCTTGTGTGTATATATTTTTTTATTAAATTGTTTTTGGGGACGGGGTGTGATAAAATTGATTAAAAATAAATACGAAATATATCATTTCATCTTGTTTAATCTCTTTCAGTTTATTTTGTTTTCACACAAAATATAAAATATCGTATATGGAATTCTCAGAATGAGAAATGAGATTCATTTATGAACCGAGCAAATACGTTAACGATTTTAGAAAGTCATTTTATTTCTACTGAATCCATTATTTTTTTTCAAAATTCAAAATAAGTTTCATTATTTAGACCTCTTCATTTACTTGTTGCATCATCATATTTTTCCTCACCTTGAACCATTCGGTTGGATATAAAGATTTGATATTTTCATTGACCCAAAACAAGAATACCTGTAATATCAATTTGATGTATATTTAAGTTATGCTTGATGGAATTACCTCTAAAGAAATTCTCTAGGCCAAATATGCCATATATTCATTATATAGCGTAGAAGCTATAATAAGAGAAATATATTTTTTTCTTAATAAATATTTTTTTAAATTTTAATTCATTGATACAATGAATATATATATATATATATATATATATATATATATATATATATATATATATATATATATATATATATATATATATATATATATATATATATTTTCCCCCTTTTGAGTTTAACAAGAAACATTTTCTATCTTCTTGAAGTTTTTTTTTTTTTTTTTTTTTTTTTTTTTTTAAATAAACAGCGTACGGAAAAATAAATAACTAAAAATTTTGATTGTTGTATGTTAAAGAAGTGAATTTATTTATTTTAGTTTTTGGAAAATTAAAGTGTCAATGGATAGCTTCTTTACAAGCTCCTATCATGTTTTATATACTTATAACAAATTTATTTTTATTTATTTATGCAGTTGTGAATTTAAAAATAGAAGGTTTTTGGATTAGCATGCAAATGATTGAGACAATATGCCACAATGCAATGTGTAAATTACAAATATTTCTGATGACATAGGAATTCATTTATCTGTATGAGGTCCTTATATATTTATCGACTTATTACTATACATTAATAATTAAATTCATTTTTCAAATTTGTTTTTATGTGGTATCTTCTCTTGATATGTAATGAAAATCCGTTGATGATCTCTAGGCCATACATTAACGACCCATTGGTTCATCTTCTTATGGGTGTCTGTGGAGTACAACTTGTTGAATTGTATTGGTATATTTGTTAAGACTTAACCCATTGGTGTAGGGGTGTTTTTGTGTGTAGCGATGATGACAGGGGATTTACCGTTGCCAATGGGAAAATTGGAAGTGATGAAATATATCTAACAAGTTACATACCTCTTGCCTGACTTTGACCCTTGTGTAGGAGGCAGTTGGCTTGTGTATCTGTACGTTGGTCTGCATGGCGGCTCCAGGCGAGGACTGGTTTGGCCCAGCATCCTCCGTTGGGTTCCCATGGTGACCTCCCAGATCGATTCTGTCTTGGCGCCTTTGGTCTCCAGCGACAATTCCCTTCATCTGGAGTTAAGTGGCCATCTTGCGCCGATCGACTCTTGCCAACGGTCGATTTGATCTTAAACCTCTTCCTTAAGGCAGTCAACAGTCTGCCGGTTGTCGAGGCCTCTTTCAAACATTTAATTTAATTTTTTTTTTAAAGATTTTGGAACTGCCTTAATGACAATTTTTGATTTATAGACAAATCAAACATTTATTTACAAAATATACAGGTTTTCTAGTAAGTAGATGGAAATATTTAAAGAGGTGATAGATCTCAAGAGCTGCGAACAGTTGTTATAAAGAATGGTCCGATTTTCAGCTGAAAAACAGGAAATTTAATTTTTTTTTTTTTTGTCTTACGTTGTTGTTTAATAGGAAGCTATATCTAAAAAAAAAATTTAATGGAAGTAATTAACAATGGCTTAACAGTAAACTAGATAAAATTTACTTCAACTGAAAGTCAAATATTTCATTGTTAAAATCATTGAAAGAGTGCTTTTGAACGAATAAACCAAGTTAAGTTTTGTTTTAAAAAAGATCATGAATTATTCCTGATTTTTTTTTATCACTACAGATAAATATACCACTTTAGAAAAATTCCCTCGTGTATTTTTTTTTCTTTTTATTGGTAAATAATACATTTTACCACACTGAGTACTATAGCTGAGTGAGGCTCATTCATACAATATATGCAATACAAAAAAAAATGAAATAAATAAAAATATATCTACATAACAAGACAAAAACTAAAAAAAAACAACAACAAGGAAATGTAACTTGAAGATAAAATTAAATAAAATACGGAAATTCGTAGCAAAACAAAAAAAATATATATACATAAGTAATAGAAATAAATAGGTAAATAAAAAAAATAGATTAAAAAGGAAAAAAAAAATAAAACAAATAAATAAAAATTTATGTACATAACAAGGCAAAAACTATTAAAAAAACCAACAAAAAATAACAAGGAAATGTAATTTGAAGATAAAATAAAATAAAGTACAGAAATTCGTAGCAAAACAAAAATATATATATACAACAGAAATAAATAGGTAAATAAAAAAAATAGATTAAAAAGGAAAAAAAAATAGATTAAAAATGAAAAAAAAAAAATAAATAAATAAAAATGTACCTACTTAACAAGGCAAAAACTATAAAAAAACTTATTTTTTTATTGAAGAAATTTACAACTGTATTTAATAATAAATACTTCAAGTAAATATGAACAAGTAACATGACATGTAAAAAATTGGTAGCACTCCATATAAAAAAACAAAACAAGGAAATGTAACTTGAAGATAAAATTAAATAAAATACAGAAATTCGCAGCAAAACAAATATATATACACAAGTAATAGAAATAAATAAGTAAAAAAAAAAAGATTAAAAAGGAAAAAAAAAATAAATAATAAAAATATATCTACATAACAAGACAAAAACTATAAAAAAACAAAACAAGGAAATGTAACTTAAAGATAAAATTAAATAAAATACAGAAATTCGTAACAATAAAATATATATATACATACGTAATAGAAATAAATAGGTAAATAAAAAAATAGATTAAAAAGGAAAACATCCTTGTTTAATAAGCTTTAAATCCAAATTAAGTAAGCTGAGGTTTATTATAAAATAAGTTGAGATTACCCTCTCTTTCGATGTGCTTTCAAATCCAACTATTTACTTAAAGAAAAAAGACCAAAAAAACTTGCTGATTAATTGAGTTTCATGAAAGAGGAAGAATTAACACAAGGAATATTTTATTTTTCATCGATTTAGAACCCTCAGCTGAGTCGAAAAAATATCAAAAGATCAACAGATCATATCATACAATCAACAGATTATATTATACAAGTGTCAAGGTTAAAAAACCATACACTAAAAGAGAAATCGTCCAGTACCACAATCGCCAGGCATATGGACACACCAAAACGTACTGCCACCACATCCCAAGATGTGTGAAATGCGGAGAATCACACAAGACTGGTAAGTGCAAGAAATTGAAAACTACTCCTGCAGTATGTGATTTATGCCTGGAAGGACAGCCTGCTAACTACAAGTGCTGCCAGGTGTATAAAAACATCAAAAATAAATTTCGTAAACCCCGGAACCCAGAAGAAATTTCTAAACCCAGAAAAGGGCCAGCTAAAATAGTAGACTCTAGATTATCTTATTCTCAGTTACTAGGGGGTAGAGTCCCGACTGATAAATGTGAGGCCCTGCCGCAACAGGAACCAGAATCCCAACCCCAACACCCTATCCCTCCTAATGTGCAAAACTCTCAACAACCTCATCAACATCACATTCCTTATATTCCTCCTACATCACAAGTCACTGATCTTACCAGTTTGTTGGCATCTTTTCTCACCCCACTGATATCTCTCCTTACAAATATAGTATCTCACCTCATCCCTCCTTTAAAAAATCCTTAAATAAAATCCATCAAACCCTTATATATTCTCCTTTGGAATGCGAAAGGTGTTAGAAACCACACTGACGAACTAACAGCTTTATTGCCAGATAAGAACGTCGATGTAGCCCTTATTACGGAAACTCGACTGACCAAAAAAACAAATTTTAAATACACCTCAGTACTCAACATATCGTATTGACCATCCAGACGGTAAAGCACATGCCGGCACTGCAGTCATTGTACACCAATCCCTCTCTCATCACCTACTCCCATTACCTACTCACGGTTTCCTACAATACACTGCTATCATAATCAAAACCTTCTCGTTTCCTATTACCCTAGCATCAGTGTATTGCCCTCCCAACCAATCCACCTCTAATATCCAATTTAGTTACTTCCTCAATTCCTTAGGACACCATCTCATCCTGGGTGCAGACTTAAACGCAAAGCATCAGCAATGGGGATCAAGAACTACGAATTCTCGAGGTCGAACACTACTGTCTGCGCTCAATTCCCAACATTTTAATCTCGCTCTCCCGAACTTACCTACCTACTGGCCCACTGATCCTAACCGTAATCCCGATATCCTTGATTTCTTCATCCATAGAGATATAGGTCCCCTCAACTATTCCATTGCACGCCTTGATGAACTTTCCTCAGACCACAGTCCATTAATATTCCAAGTATCACTAACTCCTATTCCTAAACCCTCCCCACCGTCCTTCATCAGAGGCCCAGTCAACTGAAAACTCTTCCATCAAATCCTTTCCGATCAAATTGACCTCAGAATAACTCTGAAAATCCCAAAATACCTTGACAATGCTGTACATTCCTTAACCACCACCATTCAACAAGCAGTCTGGACTGCTTCCTCTCCTAATCATTCCCCTAGAATTCCAAAGAAAAATAAATTACCTCATCACATCCTCGACCTAATCCATACCAAACGCCGTGCCAGATTGTTATGGCAACGTACCAGACATCCCACCGACCGCAGCTCCTATAACTATCTCTTTAAACAACTAAAGCAAGAATTATTCAACTTCAATCCCAATCCTTTAACTACTTCCTTACCTTCCTCTCTGCTCACGACAATTCCCTCTGGAATATCACCAAAATAATCCTAAAAACCCATAATATTTCCCATCCCCTCCGTCTAGGTGATGGCTCCTGGGCGGCGTCTGATGAAGATTAAGCTGAGGAATTCGCCAAACACCTTTTCAGTACATTTACTCCTCATCCTGAAACCAATCCGACTCACACTACAAATGTAGAAGAATTCCTTTCTTCACCAATTCCACTCTCTTTACCACCAAAAACAGTTCATCCATCTGAGGTCAAATATCATTTACAAAAACTATCTTCTCGCAAATCTCCAGGATACGACCTTCTAAACCCACAGATCCTTCATCAACTAACACCCAAAGCAATCATGTTTCTCACATACATATATACAACTGCATCCTAAGAACTACCCATTTTCCTCTCTTATGGTAACATTCCACCATCGTCCTTTTCTTAAAACCTGGCAAACATTCCAATAATACATCATCATATAGACCAATTAGCCTACTCCCAATAGTTTCAAAAAATCCTACTGAAAAGAATCCTACCTATAATAGAATCCCAAAAGCTCCCTACCCACCAATTCCGATTTCACTTCCAACATTCCACTGTCCAACAACAAGGACTCCGACTTATTGACCACATATCCTCAGCCCTAGAAACCAAAGAGTATTGTTCGGGGGCATTCCTGGACATCGCTCAAGCTTTTGACCGGGTATGGCACGCCGGACTGCTCTTCAAGCTTAAATCCCATCTACCCCATTCCTTATATCTTATCCTCCGATCCTATCTCTCTGACCGCTCCTTTCAAGTTCGCTGTGGTACAGAATCCTCCAACTGTCATTCAATCACGGCGGGAGTTCCTCAAGGCAGCGTCTCTCCTGGCAACATTCGCTGATGACACAGCCATCTTACCTTCCAATCCAGATCCTGAAACAGCATCCTTAAACCTACAAAGTCACCTCTCTCTTATTGAACACTGGTGTAATAAGTGGCGAATCCAAGTATATGAATCCAAATCCAAACATATCACTTTTACCCTTCGACGCAATTCCTGTCCACCAGTCTACTTCAACTCCATACCACTTCCTCTGTCCGACACAGTCCGGTATCTTGGATTTTTTCTAGACAAAAGACTAACATAGAACCCACACATCAGACTTAAAAGACAACAACTTAACAGACGATACGGACAACTATATAGACTATTGAACAGAAAATCTCAGCTTTCAGTCAACAACAAACTATTAATCTAGAAGACAATCCTGAAACTTTTTTGGACCTACGGAATAGAACTTTGGGGGACAACAAAACTTTCTAACATCAAACGCATTCAATCTTTCCAGTCTAAAATCCTCCGATCAATAGCCGATGCTCCCTTTTATGTATCCAACAAAACTCTCCATACTGACCTTCATATCCCATTTGTTCTTGACCTTATCCCAGACAAATTTTCTAAATTTCACCAGAACCTCACTCATTATCCAAATCCTGTAGCACAATCCCTATCTAGCTCCAGCCATCCCTATAATTCTCCCCGGAC